AATATGTTTCTATATATATATATATATATATATATATATATATATATATATAAAATAAATGCAAACAGCTGAAAAATAATTTTCTGACATTTCAGTTCTGAAACATCTTAAAATAGTCAGCTTTGGCCTTGTCTTTGGGCCAGTTTGAAAGAATATTGTGTGATGTGTTCATTAGTAATGATTTATCTTTATCAGGGTTACCCTCTGTCATGTTCAGGATTTGTAGCATTCACCCTGTGCCATCGCTGAAAGCCCGTGAGCCAAAGCTTATGGAAGATGCCATTGACAGTGGACTAGTCACTCTGTTTCTAGTCTCCCACTATCCCTGGCTGTCAGAAAGCACTGGAGCAGCCAGGCATACATTAGAGCAACCTGGGTGCTATCCTGTGGCAGGGGCCAAAGACTATGACTTGATCCAAAATTTGAGAGTTGCAAAGGCGCAAAGTCAGCTTTTTGGCTTCTCCTGCCCCATCCACCTCCCCTCCCCTCCCCCCTCCCCCCCCCCCAAGTCCTGGCCTAAGCACAGCTCGGCCTGACCTCAAAATGTGGACCTGGGTGCGGGTGCCCAACTCGCATCCTTCAGGAATGAATGAGAGAACCTGAATACATAAGGGTCTGCTAATCTCCCAGGGAAGGCAATACAGATGCGGTTATTGGCTAAAATAGGACCAGGACTGGACAGTAAGGTTTATTTTTCATTCTATTGCTGAGAAATAAACAAGAAAATTGCTGCTATTAATGAGAGCACAAAAAATACATTGTGGTCCCTCTGCTGGGTTTGCTGAGCAAATAATGACAGTCAGTTCCCAGTGCTGTCAGGCTGGCATTAGTTGATGATTAAAAATAAAGTTTGATAAAACATCATCTAAAGGTAAGTTCAAATCCATGATAAGATCCATGTTTGGGCAGCCCACACTCATGGTAGCCCCAGGCTTCTCTGTTGTCTGTTAAGCTCGGAACTGTGCAAAAGTTTATCCTAAAGCTTGTAGGGTTGCCAGGTATTCGGTATTGACCTGGACAGTCTGGTATTTTCACCTCCTGTCCAGTAAAAAAAAAATCAGAAAATACTGGACACTTAAAATGTATTTTCTGATTTCCTCCCCCCTCCGCCCCATGCCAGGAGGTGAAAATACCAGACACCTGGCAACCCTACCACACTCAGCAACAGGGTCCCCTCCCCTGCCCACCACCCGCTCTGATCCAGCCCCATGGCCCCTCTTGGACCCCCCTCTTCTCCCCACTTACTTGGTTCCACAGGGGAGCTCTCTTCCCACACAGAGTAAGAAAACAAAATGGCCACCAGCAAAAAAAACCCAAAGGCCTTAAAGGGGCCATGCTGTTTTGTTTTTTTTGCTTTAGTCTCCCCAGTGACTTAGACAAATTGGAGGATTGGGCCGCAAGAAATCTGATGAGGTTCAACGAGGACAAGTGCCAAGTCCTGTACTTGGGATGGAAGAATCCCAAGCATTGTTATAGGCTGGGGATCAACTGGCTCAGTAGCAGTTTTGCAGAAAAGAACCTGGGGATTACAGTGGCTGAGAAGCTGGATTTGAGTCAACAGTGTGCCCTTGTAGCCAAGAAGGCTAATGGCATATTAGGTTGATTAAGAGGAGCATTGCCAGCAGATCCAGAGATGTCATTATTCCTCTTTATTCTGCTCTGGTGAGGCCACATCTGGAGTACTGTGTCCAGTTCTAGGCCCCCAATCACAGGAAAGATGTGGATGCATTGGAGAGGGTCCAGCGGAGGGCAACCAAAATGATTAGGGGGCTGGAGCATACGTCTTATGAGAAGAGGCTGAGGGAGTTGGGTCTATTTAGTCTGCAGAAGAGAAGAGTGAGGGGAGATTTGATAGCAGCCTTCAACTTCCTTAAGGGAGGTTCCAAAGAGGATGGAGAGAGGCTGTTCTCAGTAGTGACAGATGGCAGAACAAGGAACAATGGTCTCAAGTTGCGGTGGGAGAGGTCCATGTTGGATATTAGGAAAAACTATTTCACAAGGAGGGTGGTGAAACACTGGAATGGAATGGGAAGTCTTGGCTTGACAAATCCCTGGGTGGATTGATTTAACTGGGATTGGTCCTGCCTTGGGCAGGGGGCTGGCCTTGATGACCTTCTGAGGTCCCTTCCAGCTCTATGGTTCTGTGATTCTAGGAGTTACGCACTTAAAACAGCCTCCTGCTGCTGCATGGAAAGAGATGTCTCCCAGTCTCTTAAATAAATATTTTTCCTTTAAATATATAGGTCAGGTAGTTGGAGCACTTAATGTGCACTGTGACTGGCACCAAATCCCTTGGGAGAGATTCTTGCAAGATGTAAAATCAAATACAAAAAACTACTTTGTTCAATATTCAGGACCAAATCTAAGCACTTGAAAATACGAAGCCTTCAGCTCACCCTCTTGTATGCACCCAAGCTGGGCACCCTTTTAAAAGGTCTCTTTGTATATCCACAGTAAAGATATGGCTTTGAAAAAGCACATGAGTGATGCTGATGCCTAACACAGCAGATTACAGCCCTTACAGTTTTGGAGGAAAAGCAGGCCGTGTTTTTTGCCACAGTGTGTTTCATCTATGCAAGAGAAAGGCTGTTGTAGGTGATCACTAAGGATATTTTCTCTTTCGTTCCCCCATGCTCCTGGCTTTTTTGTGGCTCCCACTGAGGCAGCACACAGGGAGTGGTTCTGAAAGATCCTCTAGTCCTGCCTGGGAGAGGACTACAGAAGGGCTTGCAAAGGCTACTTTAGACATTCAGGTACAGCATGAGAACAGCGGGTTCAGGAACAGGGAGAAGCCTGGGGATGGTGGTGGTGGTGGTGAAAACAGCATGGATAGCAGCAGCAAACTCAGTGGTTTAGCACTGCCTCTCTGAAGTGCTGATATAACTGCTCTATGGCTTGAGGCTCATGGGCTCAGTGCTGAGCCTGGCTATTTGAGTTAGGCACTGGGCTCAAGCTTTGGCCTGACAGCATTTTGACTGAAACTGCTAGGCTCTTGCTTGGGGAGTGT